TGCTCTTTCAACACAGATTTTTAAATATGGAAACACAGACATGTCATGTTTGCTTTTTTAAACCAATAAATTAAAATTGGGAACATGGCTAAACTTTAAGTCAGATTAAATAAAATATACTCTGCATGGAAAGCATGTAATAGCTTTTGCCTTCTTCCTCACCACCTGGAGCCCTCTTCCCATTCCCTTCTCCCTCTGCCTCCACCTTGTCTGCCTAACTCTTACTCCTGTTAAAACCTTAGATTACAAGTTTCTTCCTTTGCTATTCCTTCCCAAATATCAAATTTAATTTAGGTTTTCCTCTCATGTATTCTCCTAGATTTTCATGAATGCTAACGTCATTTCTGTGCTGTTCACTCAGTTCACATGGTGGGCACATAAAATTTACAGAATGCAAGAACAAGAAGTTTAACGATGGAATCCCATCATTTAATGGTGAGAGACTGAATATATAAATGGATAATTGACAGAATATATGTGACAATAAAACTCTGACTTGCAGCAAACAAACCAGAACAATTAGGAGTTGGTTACTGACTACCAGCTTTCCAAATATGCTCCCCAAACCAGGAAAAAGGATGCTTCCCTTCTAGTTAGGCTGCCTTCACTTCTTCATGCCAACAATTTCTAATCACAGCATACCCAAATCCTTCCCTTTTTCTCATGATAAAGCTTACCCACTCCTCTGCCTGTCTTGGAGTCCCCGTCACACTGCAAGATATGGTGGCCAACTCCCTTGCTAGAGCAGGCTCTGAATAATCACCTCTGCTTGGTCTTATTTGGATAGTCTTCATTTTTCACAGTTAGAAATTATTTTCTGAGTACAGGCTCTTTGGTTTTGAATTACAGTGGTGTTCCTGTTTTAAAAAAAATTTATTTATTTTTTGTTTACTTTTTAAAGAATGCAATTATAGCCAGGCACATTGGCTCATGCCTGTATTCCCAGCAGTTTGGGAGGCCAATGCCAGTGGATCACCTGAAGTCAGGAGTGAGACCACCCTGGTGAACATAGAGAAACCCCATCTCTACTAAAAATACAAACATTAGCCAGGTGTGCTGGTGGGCACCTGTAATCCCAGCTATAGGAGACTGAGGCAGCAGAATAGCTTGAGCCAGTAGGCAGACGTTACAGTGAGCCAAGATTACATCATTGCACTCCAGCCTGGGCGACAAGAGCGAAACTCCGAATCAAACAAACAACAACAACAAAAAAGAATGCAATTATTTGGAGAAACAGAAAATAGGCTATGAAATAAGAATCCATACTAAACCAATTCACTTGATATCCAGGCAAATAAGTTAAAAAGGCATAAAATACATGTGATGACAAGAATTGCAAAATTTGAAGAAAACATCACAACTGAATGTTTTTGCTATTATCATTAAAGAATAATTCATTTTTTCAAGTTTTATTCATAACAGCAGATTTGTAGTTTGAGAATACACCATTGCTTAATTGTATTAATATGACCCCTCTCACATATGCTTAATATCTTTCCACTTGAATACAGATAGCTTCGGGCTCACATAAAATCCTAATCTCTTATGTTCAAAAATGTCACATTTTTAGTCCAACACTAAATAAGAGTAATGGTGATTAATAAGCAGTGTGTGTTCTCAACAATTTTTTGATAACTTAAAATCAGACAGCTAGCTACTAATGGCATTTATCTCACTTTACATTCTTAGAAGGAAATAGAGGATTAAGATTGCACAAGCAAATGGTAAAATAATTTTATTTTCTGAAATGCTAGAGTTAAATACTTGTATAACTTGTGAAACAGAACTGAAATATTAGGATATCAGTAGTGACATGATTACATCATATAAACTATTGTAATACAAATTTTATTATTTTTCAAAAGACAGCTTTTTTTTTTTTTCCTTAGAAACAAGATTCTTGCTTTGTCACCCAAGAGGAATGCAGTGGCGTGATCCGAGCTCATGGCAACTTTTGTCTCCCAGGTTCAAATGGTTCTAGTGCTTTGGCCTCTGGAGTAGCTGGGACTACAGGCATGAGCCAATACACCTCGCTATTTTTTTCCTATTTTTAGTAGAGATGAGATTTCACCATGTTGACCAGGCTGGTCTCGAACTCCTGGCCTCAAGTGCCTTGGCCTCCCAAAGTGCTGGGATTACAGGCGTGAGCTACCATGCCCGGCCCAAAAGACAGCTGTTGTTTTTGACAACTGATAAATTATGTTCTGTACTAAAATGTAATAAAAATAATATATGCATTTACCAAGTATTCATTCAATGCTTGCAACGTGGTATGCACAGTTCTAGGACTTGGAAATCTGGGAGTGAACCAAATAGTTGAGGCCCCTGCCTTTATGTGCTTATATTCTTTGTATAATAAATACAGACGTATATACAATGTCAAGAGTAGATAAACACTCTGGAGGAAAATAAAGCAGTAAGAAGTAGAGAAAGCACAGGATGTATTAGCTATTTTACATAATATTATCAGAGAAGGTCTCTTTGATAAGCTCTTTGATGAGATAAAAAGGAGTTAGAATGGAGTAAAAAGAATTGGATTGGGTATCTTCCTGTTATTTTACTGCACTGCTTTCTTCTCTGTCATACTCGTTTTGTAGAAATCACTAAATTTAACTAATTCAGTACGTATAAAACAACATCATAGTTCCTTTTCTCTGGAAATGATCAGACTTCTGTTCTAACAAATGTTATTAAATAGCCCATTTTAATTTGCTGATACTGCATCTTATGTCACTTTAATTTTAAAATGCACAACTTGATATTCTGATACATGTATATGTCTTAGTCCATTTTCTGTTGCTTATAGCAGAATACCTGAAACTGAGTAATTTGTACATAAATTATTTCTTACAGTATTGAATGCTGAGAAGTGCAAGGTTAAGAGGTCACATCTGGTAATGGCCTTCTTGATGGTGGGGACTCTCTGCAGATTCCCCAAGCTATGTAGGACATCATAGGACAAGAGAGCTGAGAACTCTGTTTTATAAAGCTGCCTGTTCTACGTCCATGATCACCCATTAATGCATTCAGTCACGTTCCAGCTCTCAGGCCCAATCATCTCTCAAAGGCCTCACCTCTCAGTATTTCCACGTTGGAGAGTTTCACTATTAAGTGTTAGAGGGTACAAACATTCATTCCGAAGCATGATACATTGTATAATAATTATCACAATCAAGCTAATTAACACAGCCTCCACCTTTCAGATTTACCATTTTCCTTCTTTCTTTCCTGAGATAGAGTCTCCCTCTGTCGCCAGGTTGGAGTGCAGTGGTGCCATCTTGGCTCACTGCAACCTCTGCCTCCCAAGGTCAGGCGATACTCCTGCCTCAGCATCCCAAGTTGCTGGGATTACAGGCACGTGCCACCTCGCCCGGCTAAGTTTTGTATTTTTAGTAGGCAAGGTTTCATCATGTTGGCCAGGCTGGTCTTGAACTCCTGACCTCAGGTGATCCATCCATCTCCGCTTCCCAAAGTGCTGGGATTACAGAAGTGAGCCACCGCACCTGGCTCCATTTTCTTTCTTGTGTGTGTGTGAGAACACAAGATCTACCCTTTTAGCAAATTTCAAGCATACAATGTGATTTTCCTAACTATAGTCACATTGCTGTACTTTAGCTTTCTAGAACTTACCTGTCTCACAAAATGGAAACTCTGTACCCTTTGACTAACATCTCCCCAGATCCGGCTTCTCCAGGCCCTGGCAATCGCCATTCTACTCTCTGCTGACATAGTTGTTAACTTGCTATTGCAGTGATCACAGCTATGACCAAAACTCATCACTTCTGTAGCTACCCCATGAAGCATAAAGAAGTTGAAAATTAGCAACATGTTTATTAATATATTATGCTGAATTCAGGCATAATACTTTCTTCTGAAGTACTTACATTCTGGAATCCTTAAAAAATCTGTCCAGTGAATTCTGTGCTTGATCAAGTCCATCTATAATATATTAAAATTAAATTGTAACATGATGGTTCACCTCATAATTTTTATTTTGTAAAACAATTTGAGATATTGAGGTAAAATTCTACTTAAAAAGCAACATAACACAGCGAATTTCCAAAATAGCTTTAAAAAAAAATTAAAAAGCCCAGAAAACTATAGATAGATAACATACCTTAATTTTGAAAGTCTTTATAAAGAATGACTTCATATCCTTTGGGGGTATTTGTTTTTGCAACTAACTTGCATCCTTTTATTGAGGAATCAAACAGTCTATTGGAATGTTGGAAAAGAGCTGTCAGAAACAGAAGTTCTTATTTCGTACTTTGGTAGCATGAAATTTACACTTAGTTGGCCACGAAAAATCAAAAAAGGTTTGGCTTGTAATAAATGTTTAGAATTTTAGATATACCATTTGACCTTTGACTTGAAGATAATTTCAGCGTCCTCAGTACATAAAGGCTGACCCCCTAACCTTACACAGTGACGCACAAAGGCCATTATTGCCGTCAGCGAGTGGCTTAGACTCTCCTGTCAGCAGCAAACGCCCATTTTGTAAGCCATGGGGAAACACTGGATTTTCTTCTTCTAATTACGGGTGTAAGCCCCATAATTTATACTGGGTCTGGGCCAATGGCCTAATTTCAAGAGGATCTATTTGCGCGCTTATTTCAGCCACACAAAACTTGTCTAACAGGCAGCTGGCAGCATCTCAGGCGCCACTTCCATTCTGTTTTAGATAGTCATGCTTTTTCTCCTCCGTTTCCCCGGCACGCGGGCCGCCATCCTCGGGCCCCGCTTCCACGCGCCCGGGGGCCTCTCGGAGCGTCCCCACGCCTAAAGGAAGCCCGAGGCGGGCAGGTGAGCCGGCGGCCCCTCACTCAGTCTACCCGTGGGCGGGCCTCGCTGGAACTCGCGCTCCGGGGCCGCCCTGGCAGGACGCGCTCCGCTGCGCGGGGGTGACCAGCGGCGGCGCAGGCAGCCCGGGGGGCGGGGCGGGGCGGGGCGGGGCGGGGCCGGGCAGCCCGGGGGGCGGGGCGGGCCCCAGGTCGGCGGTGCGGGGTCTGCGGGGTGGGTCCCCGGGCGCGCGGCTCCGCCATCTGACCATGCTCCTGCGCGGCGCGGCGCTGGCTGGGACGCGGCTGGTTCGGAGCCGGAGCGGCCGGGCTGGCTGGCCTGACTGGGCGGCGGAAGTGGCGGCGTCTGGGTACTGGGCCGGGGGCGGGAGCGGCCGGCGTGGCGCGCAGGCCTCGCGGGGGAGGCGGTGGGCGAGGCGGGCTGGCGCGTGGGCCCGAGCCCTGAGACGCGGGGGCGCCGCAGCGGCGCGGAGGGAAGGGCCCCCTCGGCGGCTCAGCGGCTTCGGGAGCCGGTGACTCGCGGTGAAGACGCGGGGCTCGCGTTCGCCGAGGCCGTCCCCCTGTGAACTGCGGGGTGAAGTACGGGACGCGCCGGTCACTGGAATTCCCCTTAAAGAGCCAGGGGTTGTCCAGTGTGTCCAGATACTGCCCTGCACGCCGGAGGAACCCGGCAGTTTCCCGGGGTTGTTTCTTTCCGAGGGGCCCGCGGGCGTGTGTGCGGAACTCGGCCACCTCCTGCCGGAAGTCCAGGCGGCCGTCCTGCTGCGCTGCGGCGCCTTTACGACAGGGCTGGGGGGCTGGGGGGCTGGGGGGCTGGGGGGCTGGGGGGCTGGGGGGCTGGGGGGCTGGGGGGCTGGGGGGCTGGGGGGCTGGGGGGCTGGGGGGCTGGGGGGCTGGGGGGCTGGGGGGCTGGGGGGCTGGGGGGCTGGGGGGCTGGGGGGCTGGGGGGCTGGGGGGCTGGGGGGCTGGGGGGCTGGGGGGCTGGGGGGCTGGGGGGCTGGGGGGCTGGGGGGCTGGGGGGCTGGGGGGCTGGGGGGCTGGGGGGCTGAGGGGCTGAGGGGCTGCCGCCCCTGGCGAGGCCGGGGATGCTGATTTCCTGACACGTCCTCCTTTGGAATATCCGCTGGCTGGGGACCCGCAGTGGAAGGGACCCGCGGCTGTGCTGCCCACGCCCGCGCGAGTCCCCGACAGTCGTGCCGGAGAGTCTGTCTCCCTGTCTACTTGATCTGGAAACTCTGCCAGTTTTGCAAGGTTGACTTTCCCGACCTAGCTAGAGAGCCCTCGTGAAGGCGGGAATCACAGGATAAGTATTTGACAGCTCTTTGAGGCCCGCAGAGGGGGAGAGCACCTGGCCTGCTGGCGCACAGTAGGCGCTTCATGAACGTGCCATGCCTAGGTCTTCCTCCGTGTGGAAAGGAAATGCTTATTGTGCGCTTTCTTCCTCCGTGCTTGTTTTCATAGTTCTCGACAGTTTTTACCAAGGTCAACTAGAAATTGAAGGGAAAGGGTGCCTTCCAGAGCCTCTTTTAATTGGCAGGGAAGGGTGTAATATTTCCCTACCTCCTCTCACTACCCAAGAAAACATTCTCTCGTAGTCTGGTGGAGCTCCTGCTTCAGTAGTAAATGCTGTAGTAGATGGTCTGGGCATGACATTTTAACCGCTGGACCTGAGATGAAAAGGACTTGTTTTCTTAGTTGCTAAACCAAATACAGCTTGCTGATTTATTCCACCACTGCTCCTCCTTAGGTCTAGTCCAGCGCTGCCTAACCTTTTCTGATTTAGGCTTCAGGAGCTCAACTTCCTTTCATCCTAAAAGCTTCACCCTCCTCTCAAGTTGGCTGCTGTCTCCTAGTTCCCTCTCCTAACCCCTTCCTGAGTTAAGCACACAGAGGACTTGGGGGGGTGGGGGGATGTGCTTTAAAGGATTCCTTGCTAATCTATTAGGAAGCAAGGAATAATAGATTGTAAACATTGTGTGGGTTATAATGTTTAGTTACTGTCTCTCTTCTTTGCTATAACTGAACACACTGATGTTTGTTGTAGCCTCCTCACTCTAAGGGTGCAGATATCATAATTCCCCCTTATCCGTGGTGGACACGTTCCAAGACCTCAGTGGATGCCTAAAACCTCGGATAGTACTGAACCCTGTACATGCCATTTTTCGTATACATACATGCCTATGATAAAGTTTAATTTATAAATTAGGCAAAGTAAGAGCTTAACAATAATGAAAGAGCAATCATTTAAATAACATAATGCTCTTTCAAGGAATTCCTGGCTGAATCTTCTCATAGGCCCAGTGCTTTTTGGCATAACACGTTACTGTCTGTTGGAACACGTTTTATGTTTTTGTCTCCACAAATTTAATACCTTTTCTGTCTCAACTAAGCACTTGCACATTAGCTGTAACTTGCAGTTTGAAGTGTGACATCAAAACTACCATGAATTTCTTTTTACTTCGTTAAAATTGCGCTGATAGAAGATCCATCTTACCATGGATCTTAGCAAGCTCAGCATGTGATTAGCTTTTTCTTAAGTGGAGAACTTCTCATCCTTTCACTCAAAGGAAGCACTTTAAGGCTTCTCTTTGATATATCTGAATTGCCAGCATCACTGCTATAGTGGTTTGAGGCCGTTACTTATTTATTTATTTTTGAGACGAAGTTTCAGTCTTTTTGGGGCCATTATTAAGTAAAATAAGGGTTATTTGAATACAAGCATCACCACGCTGTGACAGTCGATCTGGTCACCAAGACAGCTGCTGACTAAAGGGTGGGGAGCTTATACAGTCTATATGCTGGACAATGGGAGGATTCGCACCCTGGCGGGGAGGAAGCTAGATGGCTCAAGATTTTATCATGCTACTTAGAACTTAAAACTTATGAACTGTTTTCTTCTGGAATTTTCCATGTAATATTTTTGGACCACAGCTGACCATGGATAACTGAAACAGTGGATGAGGGTGGATACTGCGTAGGGCAGCTGTTCATTATCCAAGGATGAGATGTACTGGAAAAAGCTATTTAGAGTGGATTCACTTAAAACAAGACTAATATTTCAGGCCAGGCACAGTGGCTCACTTCAGTAATCATAGCACTTTGGGAGGCTGACGTAAGTGGATCATCTGAGGTTAGGAGTTCGAGACCAGCCTGGCCAGCATGCTGAAATCCCGTCTCTACTAAAAATACAAAAAATTAGCCGGGTGTGGTGGTAATACACACCTATGGTCTCAGCTTCTCGGGAGTCTGGGGCAGGAGAATTGCTTGAACCCAGGAAGTGGAGGTTGCAGTGAGGCGCCGAGATCATGCCACTGCACTCCAGGCTAGGTGACAGAGCAAGACTCCATCTAAAAAAAAAAAAAGACTAATAGTTCATGCTCTCCAATTTAAAAAGTTTTGCTTGGGACCTTTGCAAAAATTAAACATTATGAAAAGTAGCTTACTTTTATATTTAAGAACATTTAAATTTTAAATGCACCCCCAGTGAATGCAGTATTGATTTGAAGGCAGAATATTTGAGTTTTATAACATAATCATAAGAATAATAGTTATTTAAATATTTGAAATTTCAAAAATTCTACTCTCATTCTTCAGATATTTGAGTAATTCTCTTTTGAAGCATCCATTATATCTCATAATCTTGTTGTAAAATTTGTAATTTTACTCTGCAGTTTGAATCATGGTCTTTGATATTGTTCCAACAGTGCAGTAGGATCTGGGTGACCAAGAAAGATGAATGAATGGAGAAGGAAAGATTCCAGCGATAAACAGATTTGATGATGATAAACTGGTTGAGTTTTTTTTTTTTTTAAGTGATTATTTTTCCTGACAATGAATGCTTCCTTTTACATTCCTTTTACAAGTTCCCAACAGCTATTTTTCAGATAATAAATACTGAGATAATGAGAGGTCCAGTATTCAGGAAATAGTAGTAGTAATGTCAAGCGCTGTTGAGCATTTACTGTGTGGAAGGCCCTGTTCTGCTTTCTGCATATGAATTAATTTAATCTGCACAAAATCCTTTGATAGGTACAAGTGATTATTGTTTCTGCTTTGCAGACTAGGAAATTTGGAGTTACAGCCCATTGTGGTTGAGATACCCTAGCTTCCTTAAAACTCTTTGCAGGTTCCCTGCTTCACGGAGTGTTCATAGAGTTTGGGCATGTTTTATTAAAAAAGTAGAAACTATAATTTTAACCTCAGGTCATACGGTGTAGGATGGAGTATTTGAAATTTGCTGGTCATAAATAACAATGTGTGAAGCTTTAAACACAGTAAATATGATTTTATCAAATAATTAAGGGCATTGGGAAGCTAGTTAGATAAGCACACAGGTCTTTGTGGTTTTAGAAAAACAAATACTTTGTAAATTGACATTTTGTACTGATAAGTAGTTTTTTTTTTTTTTCTATTTTGTAAGTTTGGCTATATTTGTGTATAAGATTTTTTTCAGATAGAACTCGTGATAAATTATCTTTAATGCTTAATAAACTACATGGTCCTTTTAAATTCCTTTTAGGATGGAGAGCAACACATCCTCATCTTTGGAGAATTTAGCAACGGCACCTCTGAACCAGATCCAAGTGAGTGATGTGGGAGATGATGGAAAACTTATCTCTGTGGAAAAATAATTGTTCCTTACATATTTAATATGCTTATTCAATACCCAAGCTTGAGATAGTTCAGCAAATGAATTAAGAAATTAATATTTATTTTAAAATCTGCTGCGAAAATTATCCCTGTGACTAAGAAGTCCTAGATCATTTTGGTAATTAAAATGTATGAGGTTTATTCTTAATGAAGTCTTCACACCCTCTAAGTTGGATAACGCGGTTGGCTGCTCGTTTTCATCATACCCACCTGAGGTCCAGTGCTGATACCAGTCAAGCTGCCCTTAGCTAGGAATCCTATTTGATTTGGGCCTGGGTTAACAGTTCTCTTTGTTAGTACAGAATCAAGTTAGTATCCAGTAGTTATTTTATAACCCATACTCTCAGGGATACTGTATACTCTTCTTTTCCTCTTTTACTGAGAACCTTTGTTAACTCTGCCTCTTGCATGCATGTTTTTCTTCCCTTGGAGACTACAAGACATACCCATTTTTTCCTCTCTTGCTTACCACCCACTACTACCACAAACAAAAAATCTCTGCCTTTAGTCGATTTGTCTAAACTCCTAGCTGTTGACTATAACATTAATGCTCGAACCCTATTGTGAAGGAATTGCTTTTTTTTTTTTTTTTTTTTNGAGGAGGATCTCGCTCTGTCGCCCAGGTGGGCACACAGTGGCGCAATCTCAGCTCACTGCAACCTCCACCTCCTGGGTTCAAGCAGTTCTCCTGCCTCAGCTTCCCTAGTAGCTGGGGATTACAGGTGCCTGCCACCACACGCAACTAATTTTTGTATTTTAGTAGAGACAGGGTTTCACCACATTGGCCAGGCTGGTCTCGAACGCTTGACCTCAAGCAAATTACCTGCCTTAGCCTCCCAAAGTGCTGGGAATTCAGGCATGAGCCACCGTGCCTGGCTTGAATTGCCTCCTTTAAAGTAAAAATTCAACATTATGGAATATATAGCAAGGGTGAGCTTAAGAAAAATTGGGAAGAGGGATCTAGAAACCCTAACACTGTCATCTTTAGTTTCAGCTCACTTTGGAATCTCTTCATCAGTGTCTAATACATGTAAGAGCCCTCGAAGCTCATCTCCCCCTACATGATGGTGTCAGTGTGTTTATGACGTGAGGCCGCATGGTGGAGGGAAGAGCACTGGCTTTGGTGCTGTGCCAAGGCTGGGTCAAATCCCAGTATCGTGAACCACTCAGCCTTAGTTTTGTCCTCTGTAAGATGAACTCGTTAATACTAACCTCTGGTATGGCAGGCCCTCCCTGGGATGAACTTTGATATTAAATATTATGAGTAAACGCAAGGGAAGCATAAAAATAGACTAACTTGCAGATAGCTGGGCTAAAACTCAGGACCCTTCTGACACCCAAGGGTGGTAGAACTCCTGAAGCATGGACCTTATACTGTCTGGTTTTTGGCCTTCATCTTGACGGTGCTGCTCACTACCCACCACAAAAGAACACCCTCGACAGGCCAGCACAGTGGCTCACGTCTATAATCCCAGCACTTTGGAAGGCCAAGGCAGGTGGATTACTTGAGCCTAGGAGTTCAACACCAGCTTGGGCAACATGGTGAAACCCTGTCTCTACAAAAAAATCCAGGTGTGGTGACACGTCTATAATCCCACACACTTGGCAGGCTGAGGTGGGAACATCACCTGAGCTTGGGAGTTTAAGGCTCCAGTGAGCTGAGATTGCACCACTGCGCTCTAGCCTTGGTGACAGAGTGAGACACTGTCTCAAAAAAAACCCAAAAACCTAGACAAATGTCTGGGTGCTATAACTATCCATTCAAAATCTTCGAAAGACCCAGGCATTCATATGTTTAGAAACAAAAAGGAAAACTTCACAGGCTGTGTTGATCCACAGCAGAGCCTCAGAGCCATTGTGGTACAGGCCTGGAGAGTGGTTTCCAAAGCAGGCCGATACAATCATTATCCATAGCAGTTTTTAAAAAACACAGTTTTCAACCTGTTCCCCAACCTCATTGAATTAGCATTTCTGGAAGTAGCTTTTCCTGAACTAACAGTACAAGAATACCTTATCAATAGAATAATGATAGCTTTCGTACTATAAAGTTATATAGGAAGGGATAGGAGCAGAGGAGTGAGCCTTACATTTTAAAAAGAAATCATATACCATTCCTTACCATTGAAAGAATGGTAAGGAGTTAACTCCTGAATACCTACTGAATATTTGAAAAGAAGTACAATGTTTTGGGGTTTTTGTTTTTTTGAGACAGAATCTACCCACTTAATTGTTCCCCAGGCTGGAGTGCAGTGGTGCCATCTTGACTCACTGCAACCTCCACCTCCCAGGTTCAAGCGATTCTCCTGCCTCAGCCTCCTGAGTAGCTGGGATTACAGGCATGCGCCACCATGCCCGGCTACTTTTGTGTTTTTAGTGGAGATTGAGTTTCATCATTTTGGCCAGGCTGGTCTCGAACTCCTGACCTCAAGTGATCTGCCCGCCTTGGCCTCCCACGGTGCTGGGATTACAGGTATGAGCCACTGTACCCCGCTGAAAAAGGAGTATAATGGAGTTTAAGTATCTAGACTACAGAGCCAGATTTGCCTGGGTCTAATCCCAGCTCTTCCATGTATTAGCTGAGAACCATGAACAAATTGTCGATCTTCCTCTGTACCTCACTGTTGTCATCTGTGAAGTGGGGACAGTAATAGGACCTACCTCAGGATTGTAGTGAGGTTTAAATAATCCAGTGAAGATAAAAGTGTGGAGAATAGTACCTGGCACACAGAAATGTTTGCTGTATATGAATTGGCTATGATTATTATTTAATGTTATTGCTCTGTGCCAGGTACTTTTTATTTGTTATATCCTTTATCCTAATAACATTGCTTTGAAATGAAAAATACCCTCAATCTATAGAAGAGAAAAAATAGATAATGCTGAGTTTGAGCCCTGAATCATGAGACACCAAATCCATACTCTTTCCATTATATCCTAATTTCTTTCCAAAAGGTAATGTCTAGAATTAAAATGATTTTTTTGTGGTTTTATTTCAGGAAACAATTTCCGATAATTGTGTGGTGATTTTCTCAAAAACATCCTGTTCTTACTGTACAATGGCAAAAAAGCTTTTCCATGACATGAATGTTAACTATAAAGTGGTGGAATTGGACCTGCTTGAATATGGAAACCAGTTTCAAGATGCTCTTTACAAAATGACTGGTGAAAGAACTGTGAGTATATCCTCGGTGGTACTGATCTTCTGTAATAGGTTGTGAACTGGGTCACCTGGAGCCTAGAACCTTGTGTTAGGAAAATGAGCCAGGCATTCTCTGACGACAGATAGAGCAGCTGCGGATCTAGGAGCCAGATTCCTAGAATAGGAAACGGCAGAGTTGATTAGTTTATTTTTATTCTATATGTGTGTTTTGATTGGGGATGGCAAGTAGTGTCATTTGAGTGCTTGTCTATGGATCTTTGAGTTCCTCTTGGAGCTCTTGCGAGATAAAAGTATTCTTCCTCCCATTCCTTGGGCAGTACAAGGTTGGTCTTCAATTACTTTTCCAATAGGAGTGCTTTAGTGTTCCATGTTTTTAGATTCTTGAAATTTGCAGATTTTTCCATAATATGCATAATCAGAAAAATATACAGTGTTGCCACTTTCAAGTTTATTGGAGGAAGTTTATAGTGCACTCTTTCCCTTCAGTAAACAAATATAAGAAATAACTAAATATTATTAGTTTATCTGCTTTAGTTTATCTTTTACATACCATAGTGATTAGGAAGGGTTTTAGAATCAGATTGTCTTGGTAATCCCAGTCTCATTTACCATCATTAGGATTTTGCTCAGGTTCCTCTGCCTCATTTTCCTCCAGAATAGGGCTAAAAACAATAGCTACATCAAAGGGTAAATATTTTAAGATTTTATTTGTGAAAGAACTCAGTTTGGTGCCTGGCTCATAAAAGTACCCAGAGTTCAAATGTCTACTATGTGAAATGATCTTAGTTCTGATGCTAGAGTGAAGCCTAACTCATCTTTTGTTTGTCCAACAGGTTCCAAGAATATTTGTCAATGGTACCTTTATTGGAGGTGCAACTGACACTCATAGGCTTCATAAAGAAGGAAAATTGCTCCCACTAGTTCATCAGTGTTATTTAAAAAAAAGTAAGAGGAAAGAATTTCAGTGATGTTGATACTAATAAGTTTGCCAATATTCAGTGTCAGTTGATGATGCCCAGTAATGTCTTTTAAATGTTTGAGGATGTTTTTAAGTATATGCATTGTCTTCCTAAAGAAGATGTAAAAATAATGAACAATAAATTGCAGTGGATGCCTCATCTTCCCACTTGCCAATTCTTGAGAAAAAGGGATGTTATTGAAACAATGAAAGGTTGGATAAGGAAATAATGTATTTTATTAGGAATTTAGGTATGAATTTTACAACCAAGAATTAGAAGGTATGCATTTGGAATTCTTTATTCCCTATTCAGGAATTAACTCTTTATCTTCGATAGCTTTTAAGTGGTCAGGACTAATGTATGATTTCTCTTTAAAACTTAAGGCTTTTTGCTGATACACTTGTGAACTAGGCAGGGTAATAGAAGTATATTAATTTTTTACTGTGGAATGAAATTTATCTTTGAGAAACTACATTACTCATTTAATGACTTAATAGTTCCAGGAAACAAAACTATACCTATGGGCAGAAATTAAACAGAAATTAACTTCAGCATTGTATGAGGATGAATTTTTGAAACAGTATAGAAATGTGCTTGGATTGGCAGGGCATGTTTGCTCACGCCTGTAATTCTAGCACTTAGGGAGGCTGAGGCACAAGGATCACCTGAGCCCAGGAGTTCGAGATCAACCTGGTTTACATAGAAAGACCCCCATATTTACAAAAAATCAACAAAAATTAGCCTGGCGTAATGGCATGTACCTGGAGTCCTAGCTGCTCAGGAGGCTAAGGCAGGAGGATCTCTGGAGTCCAGGAGTTTGAGGTTACAGTGAGTTAAAATCGAGCCACTGTACTCCAGCCTGGGTGACAGAGCAAGACCTTTTCTCTAAAAAAAAAAAAATACACACACACACACACACACGCAAAACATATATAAACTTTGGAAAGCAGAACTCTCCACTCAAGTACATTTCATAGTTTATAAATATACATAGATGAAATGTACTTGGATTAAATTGCGAGGTGGAGAGTTCTGCTTTCCAGAATTTATGTATATTTTAATATATATATATATATATATATATATATATATATATATATATAAAATCTGGAAAGCAGAACTCTCCACCTCAGAATTTAACTCAATGTCCAACAGCGTTTGAACATTTAATGTGTTCAATACTGTTCAATATTGGGAGTACTATTCAAACTCATTTCAATTCAGCTAAACTTAGCAAACAAGATTTATCCTACAGAAAGTCTTATTTTACAATAATTATAGATGTTCAGTACTTCACTAATGAAATAATCTTTCCAGCTTCCTATCAAGAATTTTTTAAGTGCCTACTATACAAAGCATTTTCCTAGTTGATCCCACAGAGTCACATGGGGCAGATTACCAGATGCTGAGAAGAAAAAACCCTTCTTCAGAGGCGGAAGAAACATTGATTTTAGGAGTGCTTCTGGTTTCTGTCAGGATGGTCCAGAAAATCTGGAACAGTCCTGAAGTATACAGCTGGTGGCTTCCTTGATCATTTGCCATCAATGATGCTTCTTACCTGGATTTATACTGCCATCAGGAGACCTCTTGATAAATAAGAATTTAGACAAGAATTCCATTCCCGTATGATAATTTAGGTTATAACACTAGAATGGAACAGAGTGGAATGTCTTTAGGTCTTTATTTTGCACTATGTCATGAGAAAGTTCTTGCTATGTTGTAAAATCTTTGTTAGAGTCAGGCTTTTGGGGATTCTGAAAAAAAATTCGTTACAGAGTTGAAGAAGTCTATTACCTGAGAAAGGTAAAATTGTGTCATAATTGTTCATCATATTCGGTATTAAGGGTAGAGGGAGGTTACTTCAAAAAATAGAAACACTGACCAATGGCTCAACTGTGAAAAACAGATTTATCTTTAGCTTTTTTTTTTTTTTAAAGATATAGTCTTGCTCTGTTGCCCAGGCTGGAGTGCATGCAAATGGCATGATCTCAGCTCACTACAACCTCCACTTCTGGGTATAAGCAATTCTTGTGCCTCAGCCTCCTGAGTAGCTAGGACTACAGGTGAAAACCACCACATCTGGCTAATTTTTTGTATTTTTAGTTTAGACAGGGTTTTGTCATGTTGGCCAGGCTAGTCTCCAACTCCTGAGCTCAGGCAATCTGCCTGCCTCGGCCTCCCAAAGTGCTAGGATTACAGGCATGAGCCACTGCGCCTGGCCTGTGAAGAAACATTTTTTATCAACTCTTCCTAGACTGGTGGGACAGAGGGTGAGAGGCAAGTGGTGGTTGGTTCTTGATTATGCTCAGATCTTGAAAGAATTCAACAGCAGGGAGGGAACCTTATCAAAAGCCTCAAAAACTCTAGTGAAGGTAATATGATATGATTTTCACTATGGCTTCATTTAAAATAGAAGAAATAAACGCTTCTAATACCTGCCTCTTAGTCTTCTGAACTTACACTTATTGACTAATAAAAGATTTTTACCTTAGCGAGTTTAGCACTGCATCAGAAAGGAAGCAGATCTTGCCTATTTGTTAAACGCTAAGGGATGAAAGAAAATACAAGAAGTCTGACCTCTTTTTGCCATATGGCACATTAAATATCTTAAAAAAAAAAAACAACCCAAAACAATAACAAAAAACTTGCCACTCTAAAATGTTTAAAATATTGGACACAGTAACAAATTTTTAAAAATGCTCAAGGCTAAGCAGGTTTTAAAAAAGTATAGGCATACTCCAAGGGGAAAACAAAACCAGGAGCAGAATCCAAGCGTGTAGGGAGGCACTGAAGCCAGAAGCTCCTTTACTGACAGTGCCAGATATGGAACCCCAATAGCTTTAGTTTTAACTGTATGCAAGGGGTTGGTTACAAAACTGAATGTTAAGGGAGAAGGAGTTAGATAGGAGACCACAGCATAACACCACTAAATCTTCAGTTAAAAAAAAATTCATAACATACTTGCAGAGCATAGCTGATGATTTGTCAAGACAGACAAGCGTTCAAATTACTAAAGGTGTAACCATTTGGTAGGTGACTTAACCTCTCAGAATGCAGGTAATAGCATCTTACTTTCGTATTTATTTTTTGAGGAATGGAGATAATATCTGTAAATCATTTAGAGTGGTTTTTAGTAGACAATACATAATGGCTATTATTAATCACAATGGTTCAGCTATATGTGGGTTTTCTGGTGGATCCATCAGGGTTTTCCAAGATTCCTAGTTGTACCCAGCCAAGAATTTAGGAGGCAGGTGAAGACTCTGGGGCTTCATGTTGTCCTGGATATTGATTTCCATTTCTTCTCCTCTTTCCATACCTTACAGATGGATAAAAGTTAGAGAATAGTGACTAAAAAAAACTTGCAATTTTTTTCCTTAGTCCTCATTTTTACGTTTTGTATTTATATATCTTTTTGAGATAGGGTCTCCCTCTGTATCCCAGGATGGAGTACAGTGGCTCTATCATGGCTCACTGCAGGCTTAAACTCCTGGTCTGAAGGGATTAGTCTTCTGAAGAGCTAGGGCTACAGGCACATGCCACCATGCTCAACTAATTCATTTTTAGTTTTTTGTAAATATGGGGGTCTTCCCATGTTACTCAGCAAGACCCCGAACTCCTGGGCTCAAGCAGTCCTACTACTTTAGCCTCATAAAGTGTTAATAATTACAAGTGTAAGCCACAATGCCCAGCCCTTTATTTTAAGATCTGAAAGATGAACTGTTTACTGGAGTCCATTAATATAAAAAACTGGGCCATTTGTTTTTTTACTTTATCACTAATTTAATTGCCAAAATATCTGTAATTAAAGATGTTTAAAAAAGGGATCTTCTATACTTGGATTTTACTGTTTACTAATAAAAAAATTATCATTTGAACAACATCTTTGAACATCAGGTTTTATTGATAAGATTTAATATTGTTGCCTGAACCCAGGAGGCGGAGGTTGCGGTGAGCCAAGATCGCGCCATTGCACTCCAGCCTGGGTAACAAGAGTGAAACTCCATCTCAAAAAAAGAAAAAAAAAAGATTTGATATTGTTAAAATGTATTAAAGCTAGTATTTATAAAGAAATGCAATTTGTGATCAATCCTTCTCGTACAACTGTTGATTCCATCTTTAAATAGGGTACTGTAAAAATCAACCAAATGTCTTGAAGTTTTGGTGGATATATTCTGATATAACTTGCTCTCAGTCACCAACAGTTCAGATCTTAGAACTTTTCAGAAAATTTTTATGGGAATTCAGAGAAAAATTTCTGCAAATTGGCACTGAAACAATGTTTTTATTTGCATAGTTGACTTTTTGTGTTTGCATGATGATTTTATCAAAGGCAACTTTGAGTAGACTGTTTCACAAAAGAATCCTATTTTAAAACTTAAAAATTTGTGTTTTGATTAAATCTAATCATTTTGTTATAACTTCATATACTTTAATTAAATCTTACATAAAATTAGATACATTAAAAGGCAGATGTTAATTATCAAAACTTAAATTTTATCTTGTTCAAATACAAAAGATTACTAAAGGCCTTAGATTTTATAAGGCATATTATAACCTTAAAATTTATATTTCTTGAAAGAAATAGAAAGACACTTACTTAATGTGCATAGAGTTTATTTGGTACATCTATCAATTTTTACAGTAACTGACCAGCAACAGTTCACACAGTGTCCACCTGCACTCCATGTCTAAAATGATTGATTTAGTAGGGTATTTTGCAAGACTAGAAAGGAGAGAAAGTCAAGGTTTCACAGTATTGATGAAAACTGTTCTATCATGAAACAAATGTAATACATTAATATATTCATTCATTCCCTATTAGAAAACAGCAAAATTACATTGTTAGGTAGATTATTTACAGTGAAAACTTGGAAGACTTGACAAAGCATCAGTTAGTTTATCAACAGACCTAGGAAGCTCCCTGTCCTCCCTTTCAGGGTCCTTTCCTTGCAAATGAAATAAATTTTACATACCTTTAAGCACCAGCTTGACAATTTAAAGTTTTCTTTCAGTTTTATAACATATTCCTGCTTTGAAAGGCAAAGTGAATGTAAAAATGTGAACGTAATTAAACAAATCACTGGCCTGGAAACTTTTTATTGCAATAGTCTTTATGTTTTACTGCTATATTCACCTTTTGGAATGAATTTGCTTGTAGGCTCGAAACAAAATATTTGCCTTTTGTCTTAAAAAATCCCCTTAAAAAATTAATCATTTTTGGAACTGTACAACTGCATTTTCATTCATAGTGCTAAATATGCAACTTGGTCCTTGGAGGTCATGTTATAAAGTCCAGCGTGTCGGATAATTTGTTATACAAAACAATAAAAAACCTTAAACTATCACAAAATATTAATGATGTTAACAGTCATGTATGTGTAACTCATCAGTGTACCTAGATTTTCCTGTTAATGGATGCTTATATTACCAACGTACAATCAGATTTTAAAACTTAATACTTAAATTTCCATTCACTATGTAAACCTAAAAGCTCTAAAAGACCCTTTGAGTTCTGTACTTTAGAAACATTAGAACACTATTAAGGCAATATTTAAACAGACCCCAAGGAAAGTAACTAGTATGCCTGAATTACAGAGCAAGTCGTATTTTAAGGCAGTCAGAAGGTTCATTTTTTCACTTTAAGGCTCTTGCATACTTAAGTTTATTCTATGTAGACATTATTCTGTGTAATTTAAATATTCATCAAATAGTTATAGAAATCAAAGCCTTTATATAAAGCAAATGGACAGTTTAGAACTAGATTATAGTACTCCACTCCCCACTGGTTTTTATAAAAGATGATTCTTACATCGCATCCTTTTGGAAATTTCATTATCAGAAGCTGGCAATAAAAGGAAAAACATATAACACACACATTACAAAAGTTATGCCCAGTCACACCATACCAAATATAGAGAGTTGACATTCAGAGTAACAGTGCAACAAAAACGCTTTTCCTTGATTACTACTTATTAATTGTATAAGATTTTAAATCCAATTTAGCTGCGTATGGATTCAGCATCATTTACATTACAAATAAAGCCAAGTTTCAATATGTTTGTTGATAGAATATTCCATCAGTTGTATCTGGTAATGATATGTAAAATCGCAGGGTTTTAATTTCATTCACTGTCCTTACCCAACATATCCATTAAGTGAAACCAAGAGACATATAGCTAATTTACTATTTCCTTGGTTCAAGCATAGATTCTAATGTCTAAAAGTGCATAAATTTAAACATTTTAAAATGAAAAGTTAAATATCATTTGTGTTCATAAAATTAATATGGTACATGCTAAATAAAATAGAAGCAAAGAGAAAAATCTTTTTAGGATGAGAAAGTTAGCTTTTCTATATTTTTGTTGTATATATAAATTCATTCTCACTGAAAATCATCTTAATTTCCACAATATAATTTTGTAAGATGTTTTCACTAGTTTCTTTCTTTCTACTACTTTCCAATATAACTTGGTATTTTCAGGGTTTAAGAAAATGTGCCATTTATTAAAATTTTATTCAAACAGTATGCTTAACTACACGATTAGTTTTGGACATGAAAAATATTACCTTCGAATTAAATTTTAACTTCATAATTTTCAAAAAAGCAAAAAAAAGTACCAGTTAAAAAAAGCCCCGTGTAAATATAAGTTATTTATAAGACTTTTTATGCCACAAGCCATGTATCTCTGTATGTGCTCAGTGAAATATTTTGACAATGGTCTTTATAATTATGAAATACAAGCATTGAGAAACCTATTTTGTGAAGAAATAATCAGTTAATCATTTTTCTAAGAGTGCTTATATAGTAAGCACTTACATTTTCAACATAGCTAGATAACATTTATAATTACAAACAAAGGCTGAATAACTGATCTTAAAGGCCGACAGAATTTCTGCAAACATCTAATATAAAAGATACATAATATAATTTGATTTGGGGAAGAGACTGAATCAATCTATTTAATATTCCAAGAAGCCTGCCTATTACTAAGTTGAAAAAAAAAAAATGATCTTATACTTGTATGAACCAAAAAGCAATCTGCAAAAGGTTCATCCCAAACCTATATGCGGGTGACTTTGCCGTCATCCATTTTATTATCCAGATAGAGAAGGACTACAGAAAAAGAGGACAGAAATGTAAGAAAGGGATTTTAAAAGATAAAAAAGGTAGAAAAGTAATCTTCCAACAAATAAGAGATGAGCAAAAAGACAAGGAAACACTAAATAAAATCCATACAGTAAATACAATTAATTTCATAGATTAACCTGTAATTTTTTTTTTTTTTTTTTTTTTCAAATTGTTTCTTGTGCATGTTTACACTGGTGTCATATGACATTTCTCCAGAGGGGATATTGCCTTAACAGTCACTTCAAACCTGTGGTATGTAAGGCTAGAATTTTTCATTTTTGATTACCTACTAACATCATACATACCTAGTAGCATCAGTTACCAATAAATTTCTTATTTGTGGCTATAATAGGTCAAAATGAAAGAGGTCCAACAAAACATTACAATGATTTGGCCTTTAGTTATTGTTCAGGTATAGCTTTACTGTACTTTTAAAGGTGTTTCTCATTTAATTTTAAGATCTTCAGATTTACTCAAGAATTCTACCTTATCTTTCCAAAATAATTTCACATTGTTTCTATAAAACCTAGAAAATAAGAAAAAAAAAAATCCCTGATGAAAATGGTATTTTACTATTTGTAGGTTTACTGGTTACTTTAAAAGATTAAGGGAATGTTTGTTGGCTGGGTGCAGTGGCTCGTGCCTGTAATCCCAGCACTTTAGGAGGCTGAGGCAGGAGGATCCCCTGAGCCCAGGAGTTTGACACCAGCCTGGGCAATGTAGTGAGACACTGTCTCTACAAAAAAAAAATTGTATTTTCAAAAGGTGGAGGAGAAAAAGGAGGAGGAGGAGAAATGTGACAGAGGCCCACAAAGCCTAAATTATTTACTTTAC